TGTTTACATGTATATAAATTTGTTGTTGTTGTGTGCTATCAAGTCACCTGTGACTCATAGTGACTCTGTATGATAGCTCTGAACCCTGCCCTATCCTGAGCCAGTCTCACTGACTCTAACACAACTAATCCATTGCCCCAGTTACAGTGTCAAACCATCTCATCTGAGATCTTCCTCTCCTGCACTGTCTCTACTCCCTTCCAAGCATGATGTCCTTCTGTAAGTGGAGTTGTGAAGTGAAGACAGAGTGACTAGGGGGTGGCAGGGGAGTGAACCTATTTTATAATTTTTAACATGCTCTTATAGTCGGTCATCTCAGCCTCAAAAACACCTGCAGCATAAACAAAGCACTAAGACCATACCAAATAGCTAAATATTGATACAGTTCTCAGAACATGCTAGAGCATCTTTTATCATTATTTAGGCTTCTTTAAAAGGAAAGCTCTGTACACTTCATGGAAAGGGCAACCATTTGTGCTTACAAGGCATTCCTTTTTTTGCTCAGGGATGCTGCACGAGGCGTTCCTCACTACCTGAAGGAGTCACATCAGCTTTGTTCCCCCATGACTTCACATCCTTCTCTAAAGGCTAGCTCTCCTGGCCATGTGTCCAATGTCTGTGAGATAGAGCTTCCAAATCCTTGCCTCCAAGGAGAAACTTGGTTTCACCCTCTGTAAGACAGACCTGTTTGTTCTCCTGTCAGTCAATGGTATGTTCAATACTATTCTCCAGCACCATAATTCAAAGACAGTTTTTCTTCTGTCATCCTTAGTCATTGTCCATATCTCTCACGCAGAGCAAGTAATTGTGAAGACCATGGCCTGGATCAGGTGCGCTTTAGTCTCTAGACTGACATTATTTCTTTCTAGCACTTTGGAGAAGTCCTTGACAGCAGACTTCCCCAATGTAATTTGTTTTTTGATTTTCTGACTCTTGATGACAAGAGTGTTGATTGTAGAGCCAAGCAAGTAGAAGTTATTAGCAACTTCAATCTCTTCTTCATCCATCATGGTGCTACCAATTGGCCCAGTGGTGAGAATCTTCATCTTCTTGATGTTTGTTAAGCTTTAATCCCTATTGAAGACTACAGTCCTTGATCTTCTATAGCGAATGCTTCAGGTCCTTCTCAGTTTCAACACTGTATCATCTACATAACACAGGTTGTTGATGAATCTTCCTCTGATCCTGGTGCCACACTCCTCCTCATATAGTCCAATCTCCTGAATGATCTGTTCTATATATAGATTGAAATGGTATGGAGAACAGGATGCATTCCTGACACACTACCTTTCTATTTTTGAAACATGCAGTGTTTCTTTGCTGTTCTGATGACAGCCTCTTGTTCCAAATATAAGTTTCACATGAGCACAATCAAGTGTTCTGGGATTCCCATTCTTCTCAAGGTTAGCCACAATTTGTTGTGATATACACAGTCAAATGTCTTTGCATAGTCAGTGAAACACAGATTGACATTCCTCAGGTCCTCTCTGCTTTCAGCCAAGATCCATTGAACATTGGAGATAATGTCTCTAGTGCCACAGCCTCTTCTAAACCCAGCTTATATTTCCAGTAGTTCTTTGTTAATGCACTGTTCCAGTTGTGTGGGTTTTTTAATAATCTTCCACAAGCATTTGCTTGTGTGCAGTATTAGTGATATTGTTCGATAATTTCCTCACTTGTTGGATCACCTTTTTTGGGGGGATAGGAATAAATATGGATCTCTTCCAGTCAGTTGACCATTGCCCTCCAGATTTCTTGGCACAACCTGGTGAGCACGTCCAAGGCAGCATCTGTTTGTTGAAATATGTCAAGTGGTATTCCATCAGTTTCTGGGGCTTTGTTTTTTGCCAATTCCTTTAGAGCAGCTTGAACTTCCTCCTTCATCACTATCGCCTCATGATCATATGTTGTTTCATGAAATTCTTTGGTGTCAGCCAATTCTTTTTGATACAGTGACTCTGTATACTCCTTCCATGTTCTTTTAATGCTTCCTGGATCATTCAGTATTCTGCTCATAGCATCCTTAAATATTGAAACTTGACACTTAAATTTGTTCTACAGTTTCTTCCAGCTCTTTACACATTTCATTAAATTACTTTGCTTTTTTATAAGCTGCCCTTTGAAACCTTCTATTCAGGTCCTTAACGTCTTGATTTTTTTTCCCCTATGCTTTGGCTTCTCTGTGCTCTAGTGCAATATTCAGAGTCTCTTCTGACATCCATCTCTGTCTTTTTTTCCTTCTCAGTCTTTGTAGTGACCTTTTGCTTTCATCATGGATGATGTTCTTAATATTCTGATACAGTTCATCTGGTCTTCGTTCATTATATTCAAGGCCCCATACCTAATCCTTTTCTGAAATTCAGGTAGGATAGACTTAAGGTCATATTTTGTTTCCTGTGGATTTCATGTAACAATCTTTAGCTTTAGTTTCAACTTGTATATCAGTAGTTGATGGTCTGTTCTACAGTCAGCACCTGGCCTAGTTTTTCACAGCTGATATTGAGCTTCTCCAATGATTCTTTCCACAGATATAATAGATCTGATTCCTGTGCATATCTTCAAGTGACATCCATTTGTATAGTCTGCATTTATGTTTCTTATAAAGAGTATTTGCAATGAATAAATCATTGATTGTACAGAATCCTATCATTCTATCTCCAGTCTCATTTCTGTCACCGAGTCTATGTTTTCCAACCAGTGATCCTTCTACCATGTTCCCAACTTTTGCATTCCATTCATCTATTATTATTAATGCATCTTCATTACATGTTTGATCGATTTCTGGCTGCAAATGTTGGTAGAAATCACCTAATTCTTCCTCTTTGGCTCTTGTTGTTGGTTCATATATTTGAATGATACTGGTATTCACTGGACTTCCTTGTATGCATATGGAGATTTATCCTGTCACTCACAACATTGTATTTCAAGATGGGTCTAGAAATTACTTTTTTAACTATGAAAGTGATCCTCTTTTTTCTCACCCTTTCATCTCCCACATAGTAGATCATATGATTATCTGATTCAAAATGTCCATGCCAACCCATCTCATTTTGCCAATACCTAGCATGTCAATATTTATGCATCCCGTTTCTTTCTTAACAATGTCCAGTTTTTCTTCGTTCATGCTTCTCACAATCCTATTCCAATTACTAGTGTCTCTTTGCAACTATTCCTCCTCCTTCGTGTTTCCATAGTTACATATATAGGTAGATAGTAGGAGCTCTGATAGTGCTATTAGAGAGCCTGGATGCTAACCAGAAGGTTGGCAATTCAGACTCACCAGCTGTTCCTTGAGAGATAAATGAGGAAATATCCTTCTATAAAGATTTCAACCTTGGAAACTCCATAGCTATATATAGGTTCAGTCACTATGAGCTGCAGTTGATTTGATGGTGAAAGTGGATTTGGTTTTTCATTTAGTTGTATATAATGTCAAGAATTTGCCTTTTGAATTGGAGTTTGCATTTTGAATTGGATTGGAATTGGATTTTGAAGCTCCATCTCACATACTTTGGGCATGTTGTCAGGAGGAACCAGTCCTTGGAGGAGGACATCATGCTTAGAAGGTAGAGGACAGTGTAAGAGAGGAAGACTCTAGATGAAATGGATTGACTGAGTGACTGGGGTTATGGGGGTAGGCATGTTGGAAACATTGCCTCAGGATAGAGTAGGGTTCAGAGCTGTTGTACATAGGGTCGCTATGAATTGCAGGTGACTCCATGGCCCATAACAACAACAGTGCTAAGAAGACAAATGTAATTCTATTTGATCGTATGGTTCTCAAATCATAATCTTGATGACCACTGTTGGTACTCATTCCATATGTATATAGTGAGTGTTTCTGTGTTCCATTCACTGTGAAGCCAGGGATGCTGTATGAGAATTCTGACGATGACTGTAGGTGCACTTTGTGTTCACTGTGATGAAGCAACCATTGTATTTTACTTTGATTGTACTCTTACTATGTAATAAGAATTACTATTCAATACTTTGACTTCATTGTTATAATTTTTTAAGTAAAATTTGCAAACCACAGTCATAAAAACAGTTATAATAATGCAAAACATTATTCTTTTGCTTATTTCCTTCATTAAATATTTGCTTTGTTTCTTATATGTGCAGATATTGTACAACCACTGTTATTTCAAGCATGCAATATAAGTAGAATAATATTATATTTTAGATACAATATTTAAGAGACTATCATTTTTCCCCCCCCTTGCCTAATTCCCTGGAAATCTACCCAGGGAATTTTTTTTCTATTTGCATGTGTCATTTTTTTATTTTATTGCTATATAGGATTTCATGATATTAATGTACCATGGTATAGTTAGCTATTCATCTGCTAAAGGATATTTGGTTAATTCCAGCTTAGGGCTTTTAAAAAGAAAGCTGCTATGAATATTTGAGTGCAAGTTTTTATGAGAATATAAGTTTTCTTATCTCTGGGATAAATACCAAGGATGCAACTGCTGGGTCATATGCTTAATTGGATGTTTAGTTTCATAAGAAACTGCCGAATTATTTTCCAAAGCTGTTAGTCTATTTTACATTCCCTCTCACAATGAATGAGTGATTCTATTTTTCTGCATCTTCACAATATCTAGTGTCACTGCTTTTTTGGTTTGTTTTGACCAGTATGATAAGAGCTTAGTGATTGGAATGTTAGTTTGCATTTTCCTAATAGCTAATGATTAATTTCTTTTCAAGTATTTACTTGCCATCTATATGTCTTCATTAAGGAAATATCTATCCATGTCTTTTGCCCATTTTCTAATTGATCCATTGCTTTTTTACTGTTTAATTTTTAGAGTTCTTTATATTATAAAGTTGTTTAAAATAATATTTGTTTCTTTCCCCCTTGTGCTCTTTAGAAAACTAAATGTTTAAAGAGTGAACTACCTCAGCAAAGTTATTCAAAATTTGGAGCACCATCTTTTATGTCTGGGAAGGTAGGGGGACGAAAATGAAAACTTTGTTCAAAAATCTACACTTTGGGCTTTAGTATAAGTTGTATTTAAATGTAATTATTTGAAATTGTTCTATGTTGTTTCTTTTCCCCTTAAGTCTGACAGTGCATGCCATTTTGAGACTGCAGCTATGCAAAACCTCCTACAGATGATGCAAAATTGTGACCTCCACACTTTTCTGAAGCATGCTAAAGCAACTGATCCTCGATGTCTCCAGAAACATAGTAAAATTCCTCAGAGCAGAGCTGCACCTCCTGACCCAGAAAAGTTTATCCCTATTTATGATAATTTATCTGAACTTCTGACAGCAATGCAAGATGAGCTGGACCAAATGAATATGTAAGGGTTTTTCCTCTTTACCAAGGAAAAGTAAAAAGCTTTTAGAAATTCTCTTTGTCCCCTTATACATTTTTAAGGCCCTATTCAACCACTTGCACTTACTTCAGTTTGATCTACAGATTTGTTGTCAGTGATTTTTTCCCTTTTAATTTATTCTTGCTGTATAAATTTTTAATTCTGTGTATTATGTAATGAGAAGAAACAGCTGCAAATATCCATTCATAGTTAAGATATGAAATGTATGAATGATACATCTAGGAAACTTGGAAGTTGTCAAAAATTAAATGGAACCTGCAGAGATTTTGGGTCCTCGTGAGCTTGGAGTGGACTGGTATTGGTTGTTTGGCAATGAGCAGTCATATTGGCAACTACACTAGGAGAGAGAAATTGAAGAGCAATGGCATTGCCTCCATTGCTAAAAGAACATTTCAAGACCTTTCCTGAAATACAGCAGTATCTGTGATGGGATAATATCCATACACCTTCAATATGGATTGCATCTCAACATCAAGAAGACAGATTTTCTCACCACTGATAAGCAACATCATGATAGATGGAGAAAAGGTCAAAATTTGTCAACAAAATCATCTTACTTGGATCAGTAATCAACATTCTTGATATCATCAGTCAGGAGATAAGAGATTTGCATTGGCAAATCTACTGTCAAGTGATATCTCCTGAGAAGAAAGGATATTAGTTTGAGGAGTAAGATATGGCTGATTCAGCATGTGGTCTTTTCCATCATTTGCTGTGCCTCTGAGAGTTGGACAGTGAACAAGGAGGACAAAAGAAGAATTGATGCCTTTGAGTTGTGTTATTGGAAAAGAGAACTGAATATCCCAAGGACTATCAAAAACCAAACAGATATGTCTTGGGGAAAGTGCAGCCCTAGTGCTCCTTAGAGCAAGCATGGTGAAACTTTGTCTCACATAATTTGGGCATCTTATTGGGAAAGGTTGTTCCTTGGAAAGGCATGTCATGCTTGGAAAAGTATAGGGTCAGCCAAAAAGAGGAAGACCTTCAAGATGGATTGACACAGGGACTGCAGTAATGGACATAAGTGTGCCGGAGATGATGAAGATAGCAAAGGATAGAACAGAATTCAGATCTGTTGTTCACAAGATAACGTGGAGTCAACTCAATGGCACCAAACAACAATTAATGTGAGGAGCTATGGTGACCTACTGGTAAAGAGTCGCACTGGCAACCCAAATTTACACAGTTGAAATCCACAAGCTGCTCTACGGGAGAAAGATGGGAAATCTCCTGTCGTGCAATTAACTGCCCCTGAAAACCTGCTGGAGGATCAACCATGGCTCAGTTCTGACTCAGTGGAACACAACAACAATTAATGAGATTGTTACTCAGATTTACACAGTAGTCTCTAATGACAGAGATAAAGAAAGCTAAGATTTTTCACCAAGGTCCCTAGTTTGAATTGATCAAAAATGCAATCAAAATGCAGTGATCCAAAGGATAAGTAATTGGAAAATGACATTAGTGATAGAAATGACATCTGAGATCTCGTGACAAGATTTTAAAGATCAACAATTTATTCATTGCAAAAGCCTTTTTTTAAACAATTTTATCTGTGGAAACAGAAAATGGAGAAGTTAATTATCATCAGTCATAACAAAATTAGGGATAGTCAGCAAACGAGATCATCAGTTGCTCAAGTGCAGGTTCATGTTGAAGCTTAAGAAAATTTAAAGTCCATGAGAGCCAATGGTTAAAAACCAGATAAATTGTGGTGTGACATCAAGGACATTATACATGAAGAAAGCAAGCATCATTAAAAAAGACAGTAAAGAAAAGAACAAAATAGACATCAGTAGAGACTCAGACACTTGCTGTTGAAAATGTAGCAGTTGGAGCAAATCTTTTCCTGTCCAGTTTACAGCCTCTGAAGATTCATTGGAGAGTCAGCTGTGAGTCAGTACTGACTTGATGGCACATGACAACAACTTTAACAAAGCAAATGGAAAAAATGATGAAGCAAAAGAAGTGACAGAAGAGTTCAGAAAGTGCCTTGAGTAGGCAAAACAGAATATAGTAAAATAGCACTGGTCTGTCCATTTGCTGTACAGAGGTAACTCATGGTTGCTGTGATGCTAAACACTGTGACACTGATGTGTCAATGTGATAACAGTTACCCATGGTGGACAGTGTTTGGTGGAGCTCCCAGATTAAAACAGGCTTGGAAGCAAGAGTGGCATCCACTTCCGAAATAGCTTGCCTCCAGAAACTCTATGAACATGGAGAAACGATGAAAGTTATTCAAGTGTTCAGGTCTTTCATTCATAGGGTCACTGTGAGTCACCTACGACTTGACAACACTTAACAACAATGAAATGTAGAGGGGAAATGTTAAAAACCAAAAGAAGAGAACATATTTGGCATTTTTTCAAGCTGAAAGAACTGAAGAAAAGTTCTGGCCTTGAATTATAATATTAAAGGATTCATTGGGGGAAATACTGGATGATGCAACAAACATCAAAGGACGGTGGAAGGAATACACAGACTCATGTACCAAAAAGAATTGGTCAGCATTCAATTATTTCATGAAATAGCATATGATCAGTAGTCCATGATACCGAAAGAAGTCTAAACTCTAGAGGAGGCATTGGCGAAGAGACCCCGAAATTGAGGAACACTAATTGTGACGTTTCAAGAGACAGTCAGGTAGAAGAGACAGATATTTAAGCCTTTTGCAAAGAAGAGTGCACCAATAGAATGGAGAAATTATTGGACAATATTAATATCACATGCAAGTAAAATTTTGCTAAAGGATTCAGATTTTTCAGGATTCTTTAAGGGTCTGAGTGTGGGTGGCACAAGTGATTAAGACTTCCACTGCTAATCAAAAGATTGATGTTCACATCCATCCATGGCCACCTTGACATTCAGGTTCTGAAGTCATGGATTTGAAAGCTGTGTTGGAGCAGTTCTACTATGCTCACATTGGATTGCCTGAGTTAGCATTCGCCAGATGGCAGTTAGCATCGCAGTAACAAAAGAGTCTGGAGATATTTCTAAGTATCACTAAGATTTGATTGTCTTTCTCACCCACTTTATTATTACAGCTTTTAGTAGCTGTTATTGAGTTGGCTCCTAACTCATGGTGGACTCATACATTATAAGATGAAAGGCTGTCTAGACCTAACACTATCCCTATCAACAGTTGTGTATTAGATCATTGGATCCTTTGAGTTTTTATTGATTGATTTTCTGAACTAGATCCCCAAGTCTTTCTTCCTAGTCTCCATCTGGAAGCTCCACTGAAACCTCTTAAGCATCATAGAAACATGTAAGTTTCCATGGAGAAATACATAGTGACTACACATGAAGTATATTGACTGGGACTTGAACCTGGATCTCCCACATAAAAGGCATGAATCCTACGGCACTGCACTATGTCATCATTGTCCCAGTAAATTTAATTTCCAATTTTAAAAAAAAAATCTCCATTGTCATCACATCAGTTCCAATGACAGCAGGTTTTGGAGGCTGTAAATCTTTTTTTTTGTTTGTTTGTTTTATTTTTTAATTTTTTAAAAATTTTTTACTTTATTATTTTTGTGTGTGTGTGGACCATCAAATCAGATCTGACTGGTACAGAAGGAAATTGTCCCTCCTTCCCTGGCAGAGCATCTGGTGGATTCAAAACGTGAGCCTCTGGGCTTGCAGTGCAGCTTCTTGCCACTAGGCCACCAAAGCTCCCCTGGCTGTAAATCTTTACAGAAAAGGCTGCCAATTTATCTCTGAAGTGTCTGGTGGATTTAAACCACTGACTTTTCAGTTAGTAGTGCAGCCAGACCTTGTTTCTAACTCCTTATAACCCTGTGTTAAACAGTCCTAAAGCAGGAAATGTTCTTTGAAGACTAATATTCAACTCTAAAATTTATGATTGAATAAGAAGTTGTTTAGTTAGGGCAATGATAACATATGTAACAATGTTTGATATTTGCTTTTGTTTCATAGGGAGCATCAAGAATTACTGAATCAAATGAAGGAAACTCAAAGCCCTTCAGTCTGTGAAGACATAGGAAATGAACTAGAGCATTTAGTAAAAAAAATGGAAATTAAAAGAGAGCAAATTTCCAAACTGAAAAAGCATCAAGACAGTGTAAGTGGGTTTTAATATTTTAATAAAGAGATACTATTTGTGGAGTCAGTGTTCTGTGTGATATAATAAATTTGGACTGTATATGTGCTTTAATGAAAAGACAGTAGACCGTAGTCTCTCAGGCTTGTTCAGGTTCAGCTATCTGACCCTTTGCAATTGAATGAGCTTCTGAAGTTGCTCATCAAGGTAACATAAAGAACATAAACTGTACAGTTTAGTTCTGTATTCAGAGATAGCTTTGTGTTATTGTTATGTACCATCGAGTTGGAACTGAGTCACTGCTGATCCTCCAGCAGGTTTTCAGAGGCAGTAAATTGTGTGAGAGTTCATTGCCCATCTTTCTCCCAGGAACAGCTGGTAGATCTGAACCTGAGCCTTTGGGGTCGCAGTGTAGCTTCTTACCACTAGGCTAGTAAGTTAATTCCCCTATGCCACCTACCCAGTTGTTCTTTAGTATTCCTTTCCTGTATGCTTCCCTTCTGTAATACCTCCATGATGCCTATAATGCTAATAGGGCTCTCATTTCGTGCATACATGAACCTGGCTCCTCAAGCTCCTAAAATCCAATCCTTAAACTACACTATTCCTTCTAAAACAAGCTGTGCTGTGTTCCATTTCCTGAGGACCTGTGCTCTGTTGGCTAGAGCAAGTAAGGGAGGAGTTGTAAGAGAGACCCTCTACTAGTGTGTGAAGCCATAACCACTAAGAATTGCTTGTTGTTGTTGTTGTTGTTGTTTGATACCGTCAAGTCGTAGACGACTCATAGCGACCCTATGAACGGACAGCCTGAGCATTGTTCGTACATAGAGTTTCCAGAGGCAAGCCATTTCGGAAGTGGATGCCACTCCTGCTTCCAGGCTTGATTTAGTCGGGAAGCTCCAGCCAACACTGTCCACCATGGGTGCCCATTACCACGATTGGCACATCACTGTCACAGTCTTCAGCATCACAGCAACCACGAGTTACCTCTGTACAGCAACGCACAGACCCGTGCTATACCACCTAGAAGAATGTTTGACAGGAAGACAATTTGAACCTGGCTGAGGGCCACAGAGGAAGAATTGCTTAGTTGTTGTTAAATGATGTTGACTTTCACTCATTGTGACCCTATGAAAAACAATCCAAAACTCTGTTCTATCTTGTACAGTATTGTGAGAGAAGAATCATTAGATATAGTATCTTATCCCAAGTCACTTTGGCTATATAGCTTAAGTCTGGGGTAAGCCTTTTCAGGAAACTTCAAGGTACTTCAAGTAGTTCATCCATGGCCACAATGAGTTCTGGTTTTACTACTAATCCAAAGGTCAGCAGTTTGGATCTGCTAGCCCTTGAAAGACACGCAACCCTTTCTGTAAAGATTTACAGCCTTGAAAACCCAGTGATGGGTCACTGTGACTCACAATGACTCGAAGGATTTTCTGGATTTAACACAATTTTAGATATATAACAGTTGTCCAATAAATGCAAAGTTACTAAAACTTTTTTTACTTTATGTCATCTTTAAGCTCTCAGTCTGATCCAGTAAGTTTAGGTTCTGCTTTTAGTGTATTGTTGATGGAAATTTTAGATTTCTTTTTCTCTCCAGGTCCATAAATTACAGCAAAAACTTCAAAACCCAAAGATGAGTGAAGCCTCAGCTATTCTTCAAGAAGATAGCAACTCGAAAGGATCAAAGAACTTAAAAAATAGCCCTGGAAAGCGTTCACATGAAACTAGCTCTCTTCAGAAAACCAGCCACTTTCATCCAAAGCGAGTCCATAATCTTCAAATGAAATTGAGAAAAGATGATATCATGTGGGAACAGTAACACAATAGCAAAACTGTCACCTTAAATGAACTCTGTCAATAAGATCTTGAATTGTCTAAAGTGGTTTTAATTTAATATATCTTTATAAAAATTTTAATTATGTTTTAGTTTCTATTAAGTATAAAATAGTAGGGTTTTTTTTAATTAATGCTTAATAACCTATGAAGAGTCCCAAATAATAAATGCTTGCTTGTTTTTTTTTCCTTTTTTATTGAAATGATTGATCTCATCATGTTTTATAAGATTGTTCATGTACCTAAATCCAAAATATTTAGCTGATTATCTCTTCAAACTTTAGTTAAATTTGAGAAATAAATGCCACATGCATTTTACCTTGGTAGGCTTCTAACTTTAATTAAGGACCAATGTAAAATGAATAGAATTTGGCTAGCTCTTCCAACTCTTAGGACTGCAAAATTTTATTTTTTTTAATTTTTCGTTTTTAAAATGAAATGGCTCAATAGGTCTGCAATTTGGTGAAAAAGCCTTTAACCTAAGTCTTTGTGAGAATTACAAATAGAAACTCATTGTTACTTCCCTTTTAGAAGACAGTAGTGTAACTTAACTGCAAACGTTATCTACTTCTTTTTCCTTTCTCTTTTCAATTTCTAGTGTGTGAAAACCAGTGATCTGCTTTGTCTTACTCCTTTACAACATAAACTTGTATTCTATGCATTATAAATAATGTTCATTAGTATAAATTGTGAATATGATCTTCTAAGACCCACAAAATTGGCATAACTTACTAAGAAAGTATAGTAATAGGGAGTTGGCCTTCTGCTACCTAATTAAAAATCAGGGTAATATGGTACTTCTTAATACTCTGAAACCAATGATGTCATAATAAGTTGTATATATATGCTTTGTAATAAACTTATCCTTGCTCACCAATATTGTCAGAGGCTTATAAAAAACGACTATGACTCTTTTGATCTGTTCTATTGCTCACTCAAATCCTTCAGGGCATCCAAAGAATTAGAGGAATGAACTGAAGTTAGACTACAGACAAAAAAGGGAGGAAGTCAGAATTTAGGATTGCTCTTTAAGAGAAAGTGATCCCAAGGCACAGTTAGAGTGTATCTGAACTGAATCCACGGAATTCACACCCAGGGGATGTTCAAGCTATAAATGGGAGAGGATTTCTAGGTCAGGATTCTGGGGAGCTGTGGAAACCATTTTTAAAAGGTAGTCTTTCTCTCCTTCCCCCACCCCTATTCTGGGAAATTCTACATTAAGTGTATTTAGGAAAAAGGGAAAGTGTGGATTTTCTGGGCAGGAAAAGAACTATAATTTGTACTAATTGTAAGCAGAAATAATATCTTCAAATACTAAGAAGACAAAAGATTCTTACCACTGGTCCAATAGGCAGCACCATGATAGATGGAGAAGAGATTGAGATTGTTAGTAATTACAGCTTGCTCGGCTCCACAATTAACACTCTAGGCACCAGCAATCAGGAAATCAAAAGACGAATTGCACTAGGAAAAATCTGCTGTCAGGGACCTCTCCAGAGTACTGAGAAGCAACGATGTCAGTCTGGAGACTGAGGTGCACCTGATCCAGGCCATGGTCTTCACAATTACTTGGCATGCATCAGAGAGCTGGACAATGAATAAGGATGACAGAGGAAGAATCAGTGCCTCTGAGTTGTGATGCTGGAGAAGAGTCTTAAACATACCATGAACCACCAAGAAAACAAGTTTGTCATGGAGAGAGTGAAACCAGGTTTCTCCTTCAAGGCAAGGATTTTGAAGCTCCATCTCACATACTTTGGTCCAGGAAGGACCAGTCCTTGGAGAAAGACATCATGCTTGGATGGAGGGTGGAGGGACAGCACGGGAGAGGAAGACCTCGGATGAGATGGACTGATACAGTTACTGGGGTAATGAGGGTAGGTGTATTGGAGTCAGTGAGACTGGCTCTGAGTAGGGCAGACTTCAGAGCTGTTGTGCATAGGTCACTATGAGTTAACAGGCAACTCAACAGCACATAACAACAAACAACGTGCAAGTGGAGAGAGACCAAAAATGGGCACGTCAGTACTTCAAATTGAAGAAATTAAGGGCACAGATAAAAGCTTTCCATTTCAAAGAGTGCATGTGTCTTCACAAACTTTAATGTCCTCCCACGGTCAGCTCCTTCAGCACCTGAGATGGTCCATAGAGTGGTTCCCCAGTTGTCAACTTAACCTTTTTTCACTTTGCAGTTCTTCCTCAGGAGAGTAGGAGCTTTAACTTGGCAGAAACACCACCACCACCACCTCATCAGAATAATGCTGTGGATCATAATCATCTTTCTGTGACATTTTTTTTTAAATGCATTTAGAAACGTGGCTGTCGTTGTTAGGTGTCGTTGAGTTATATAGAACTCATAGCAACTGTGAACAACAGATTTTGAGCCTGTCCTAACCTGTGCTGCCCTCGCAATCTCTGACATACTCAGGCCCATTGCTGAATATTGTGTCAATCCACTTGGTAGAGGATCCTTCTTTCACTGGCCTTCCGTCTTTCCAAGCTTCTAGTCCCTTGCCAAGGGATAACCTCTCCTAGCAACATACTCAAAGTATGTGAGACAAAGTTTCCCATCCTTGCCTCTGAGGAGCACTCTGGTTGCACTTTTCCCAAGACATATCTGTTTGTTCTTTTGGTAGTACATGGGATATTCTGTACTTCTCTCCAGCACCACAACGTGAAGGCATAAATTCTTCTCATATCCTTATTCATTGTACAGCTCTCAGATACATAACAAGTGATTGAAAAGACAATAGCGGAGTCGGCTTCCGGGCGGGCATTTCGAGCGCGGCAGCGGCAGGATGACCCTTTGGGTGGACAAGTACAGGCCGTGCTTGCTGTCGCGCCTGGACTTCCACCGCGAGCAGGCGGCACAGCTGCGGAACCTGGTGCAATGTGGCGACTTCCCTCACCTCTTAGTTTATGGGCCGTCAGGTGCTGGGAAAAAGACCAGGATCATGTGTATTCTGCGTGAGCTCTATGGTGCTGGCGTGGAGAAGTTGAGAATTGAGCATCAGACCATCACGACACCCTCGAAAAAGAAAATCGAAATCAGCACCATTGCAAGTAATTACCACCTCGAAGTTAATCCCAGCGATGCTGGGAACAGCGACCGGGTGGTGATCCAGGAGATGCTCAAGACCGTGGCGCAGTCCCAGCTGCTGGAGACCGGCTCGCAGCGGGATTTCAAAGTGGTGCTGCTGACCGAGGTGGACAAGCTCACCAAGGACGCGCAGCACGCCCTGCGCCGGACCATGGAGAAGTACATGTCTACCTGCCGGCTCATCCTTTGCTGTAACTCCACCTCCAAGGTCATCGCGCCCATCCGCAGTTGCTGCCTGGCTGTCCGTGTGCCTGCACCGAGCACTGAGGACATTTGCCAGGTGTTGTCGACCGTGTGCAAGAAGGAGGGCCTGACGCTGCCCGCCCCGCTGGCCCAGCGGCTGGCCGAGAAGTCCGGCAGGAACCTGCGGAGGGCCCTCCTCATGTGTGAGGCCTGCCGCGTGCAGCAGTACCCGTTCACTGCAGATCAGGAGATCCCTGAGGCGGACTGGGAGGTGTACCTGAGGGAGACTGCCCACGCCATCGTCAGCCAGCAGAGTCCTCCGAGGCTGCTGGAGGTCCGAGGACGGCTCTATGAACTGCTAACTCACTGTATCCCTCCCGAGATAATAATGAAGGGCCTGCTCTCGGAGCTGCTGCACAACTGTGACGGACAGCTCAAGGCCGAGGTGGCCCAGGCAGCGGCCTCCTACGAGCACCGGCTGCAGCTGGGCAGCAAGGCTGTCTACCACCTGGAGGCCTTCGTGGCCAAGTTCATGGCGCTTTACAAGAAGTTCATGGAGGACGGGCTGGAAGGCATGATGTTCTGACGGCCACCGCACAGTGTCCTGCTGGGACTGGGTCTGCACATGCGTGGTGCTCGTGGGATAGACGTGGGTCCAATAAACCAGCCTCACTTGGCCAAAAAAAAAAAAAGAAAAGACAATAGCCTGAGTCAGGCACACCTTAGTCTTCAGACTGACATCATTGATCCTCAGTAATTTTGGCATTCCTGACAGCAGACTTGCCCAATGCAAAACAAACATCTACTGACTGTTGGCATAGTTGTGGACCCAAGTAAAATGTAATTGTTGACAATGTCAATCTTTCATAGATTTTCCTGTGGCTGAATATACAGTAAAATCTACGAAAGTCAGAAACTGTAAGGTAAAAATAGAGGGTTCCAGAAAAGTGGTGACTGCAGCTGTCAAAGACAGAGAACTTGTGGGACCTGGAAAAACAAGGCAGCCCCATCCATTTGCAGCTCTCACAGATTTCAAGTTTTGTTTAGTTTTTCGATAATGACTTTATTACTTGTGAAATATACTGCTAAATCAAATCACCTTAAAAAAGAATTTTTAACTCATTTTTGAATGTTCAGGGTATTTTTTGGTTAAAAATTAAAAATATCCTTGCCAAAAAATCAGGGTGGAAGAATAGGAGAAACTATAAAGCTGGTAAGAGAACCATTTACATTCTACCATTTAGATACTTGATCAAGTCAAAGCACTTAAATTCTAGTTTCTCATCTGAAAAAGTGGATAATACTAGTACCTGCCTCACAAGGATAGCTCAAGGTCCATATTTGTAGGTCAGAAGAGTGATATGTGAGGAGAGTAAATGAGTAGCAAGTAAAAGAACCCAGCAGAAGGGCCAGCACTAAGTAAAAATGCAACTGAGTGTTGAAACTGGGCTGGAGTTAGTTTGGGTTGTTGGCAAGACGTTTGTTCCTAAGAGACAAAGCAGGGTGTCCTGTTACTCCCACCACAACCAGTGAACTGAGAGTGTCCCTCTGCTCAGACTACCTGCTTGCCAGAGCTGACTCCTCCACGGGTGGAGCAAAAGGAGCCCTCCGTGGGCACTGTGAGAGAGTTGCCGCAGCAACCCTTCTGCTGCCCAGTGCTCAACAAAAACACCGTTTGATTTCATTGGCTTTGCTCACTTAAG